GCTCTTTTCTGCACATTACCCCTCCAAGGCCAAACACATAACAGGTTCATTAAGTGTCCAATTTATTTGGTGAAACCCCACACACGGCTCCTCGCACAGAACTAATGCGCTGGGTTTGTTGGAACCCTCGCACATGTTACTATCACTGGACCATGCCATTTTATTAGCCCCAAATGTGCTGCCCTTTGATAAACAATTGGATTTAATAACACTCCATTTGTTAGTCTGTTTTTTTAAAAGATGTTTTGTTGAAAGTTTAATAAATTAAACTAAAAATCTACTACATTCCACCCCAGCTGCACGGCAGGGGAAACACAACAGATGCAGCTAACGTGACAAAGAGGCAGTGGCTGAAGAAAGAAAAAAAAAAAGATGGAGCAATGAGACACTCATCTGGAAGTATTTTGTGTCATGAAAGCATGAAAGTGTTATGTGATGTTAGTTCAATTTAAACTGAAACACTTATTAGTTATTATTGTCTTCTATAGTTTAAACAAATGCCAACATAAAAATGTCTTACAGCTTTGAAAATGTTGATATATGTTGATGTAAGTGTTTGTGTTTTTGGATCAGGCGACAGTTCCCTGTACTCTGTGACCTGTCTTTCCATTGTCTGTTGTGTTTTTAATGATAATAATAATAATAAAAATTTGTTGAAAAAATATTTTATCAGTTTTTTTTAATCAATTACTAGAAATTTCAGGTGACCCCTTTTAAATTCCAGGTGACCCCACATGGAGTCGTGACCCCAAGGTTGAAAAACACGGCTCTTACCCCGTTGTGTTGGTTATAAGAGTTACGTTAAACTCTTTATACAAAAAGAAGCCTTTTGCTAAGTTTCACACGTCAGAAGATACGGAGCTTAGTAAAAGCTAATTAGCATGAAAGCTAATTAGCATCTTGCAAAAATAACAGCTAATAAAAGATGATGGTGATTGGTTGACTTAACTGTAATTTCACCCAAGTTATAAGATGTGATCTGCAGTACAATAAAGGTGGCCTTTAGAGTACCTGAAATCATGTTTCTTGTTTTTAACGACTGATTTATACCAAGGACAGCTGTGACAGCATCTACTGTAAATATAAAGACAGCAGAAAGAGGTCCTCTGTCTGTGAAGACGTCCACCGACCTGAGCGTGAAATTCAAAGAGCTTATTTTAGAACAACTTTATCACTGAGTGCCACGAGGACAGAGCATGTGTTTTCTTTGCTTCTTCTGATACATGAACAGATATGGTAAGCAGTTCAACTGTTGATCCCCAACAGCTGCTGCTGTATTACATGGGATCAGCATGTTCCCCTGACGGCGAAGCAAGAAAAGAGCTCACATTCTCTTTCAGGCCGTTTACACCAAATCTCAGAGTCTAGAGCACTTAGTGTTGGGTTAATAGAGAATAACTGAGAATAACTTAAATAAAACATCTATTCAGAAATAAATCCTTCATTTTTTTAACGTCTTGACACAACTTTGTTTTTGTTTTTTCCAGTTAGATATGGGGCTACATATCCGCGGGCTAGTAAAGGTGTTCTTTTTGACCCTAACAGGGGACACAGGTCAGTGTGGGTACCATGATATGAGCATCAGTTGGACCAGGTGGCACCAGGATACACTGTGGAAAGAATATACATGTATTATAGGTGTATATATGTATATATTTATATCTATCTTTCCATCCATGCAATTCGACACAAGTCCAAATGCTCAACTAAACTTTGCACAATATGTGAAGACACTATCACCATAGCAACGGCAGCTTGTGGCGTGTTGGAGGAGAAAAGAAAGTATTGGATCGATATCGGTATCGGCAGATACTCCAAGGTATCGAGCCATCTCTAATATATATATTTATACACACATATAAACATATACTGTATATATTTTCCATATATGTATATAAATATATATATATATATATATATATTCATATATATATATATATATATATATATATGTTGTGACTTATGTACCAAAGACCCAAAATAATTCTACAAAGAAATAATTCTCTGAAGGAAACACAGGTGGCAGTAGTGTTCAGACTGAAACAGAGGATTTGTGGTTAAAGAAGTTTATAAATATGTTTTCATTTTGTCTTAGGATTTCTCAACTCACACTCACATTACAAGAAGTTCAAAAGTTTAAAGTGATACACTGCGTGTGTGTGTGTGTGCTTTCGGGTGTTAAATATATAGTTATATTTAGGTGCAGCGGCCATTGTGGGGATCCATCTCAGGAGATCCCCCAATCATAATGGAATCTAGAAACCCAAACAGTCTAACACAGAGCTAAGAATAGAGCGGCCTCAGACATAATCCGTTCTCCAGGAATAATGCAGTCATATCCAGAGAACCGGGCCGTACTTGGACCCTCACACACACACAGACACCCGGGCTCTTCTCCCTACAGGAATGCTTTTAGAGCGTGGAGAGCAGACGTGCCGTGTAGGCAGATGTCTCAGCAGTAATAGTGGAAACTATCATAAACTCTGGAATCATCCGAGAGCCTTTTAAGATTGATTACTACGCCGCGATAAATCACAAAGTAATATGCTTGTCCTGAAGAAGGAAGACAGGAAACAACTTGTTCGACAACTGCTGTTGGTGGCGTCGTGACAGTGACGTGCAGTTGGCATCACAACATTTTAATTAAGAGAAGTTTCCAGAGGAAAACCCCAACAAGACCATATTTCATTCACAAAACCTAATTACCAAACACATTAATGAAATTAATGGTGTAAAAACAATCTTTACTTAAAAAAAAAAAAAGCAACAGCGGAACTTAAATCCGGAGCTGCGGGCGCTAACGCCGCGTGCCGTTTGGCCAAGTGAAGCGCCCCCAGACTGGAGCTGGAGGTTCTCCTGAACGGAGAGTCTGAATGGAATTTGAGTTGACTGTGAAGTTGCGTGTTACGCTGCAATCATTGAAACCCTCACTCACTCCCTGCTGGCTTCAACAACATTAAACATGACATTCAACAATAGGAATCAATTAAAAAAGCTTGGGAGAATTCAGACACTGACCTCCACTTGTCAAAGCAGCGAGACAAAAAGGGGAGGAAGGGGGAGGCAGACCAACGACATCGTGACACGAACTGATGGGACTAATGCAGTCCGTCTACTGACATTTAAAAAGGCTCACTCACGCAGCCCTGGTGAGCCTGCCTCACGGCCACTGCACTTCCTTCCAGGACTGTGAAGTCCAGACAGAGCCGGGCCTTTGATCCTCCACAACAGTGGGCAGCAATTCAGGCTATAAAACTCAAGTACCTGCTCTCTCTGGTGCACACACACACACACACACAGAGAGAGAGAAGCAAATATTTACATCCTGCTGCCGTTTTGGGGTCGGACTAAGATCTGATAGATAGAACTTTATCAAACCCTCGTTTCCTGTTCCTTCAGGAAATTGAGGAATCTTGAGCCGGAGTGGACAATATCGTCCGGTCATGATAAGTGAATTGATAAATAATTCAGAAAAACATAAATACTAAAGTAATTTGAGGGCACGTGCAGCTTTCCTGTCTGTAACAGTCTCCCTCTGGGATCAAAGTGTGTCGGTTCGACTCCTGACCCCTTGACCTTTACTGCACCACTAAGTAAAACCTTCATCACTAGGACAAAACTGAAACTAACAATTATGGTTCTTATTTGATAATAATGAAACCAGTTACATCCTCCTGCTGGTTGTCACTTAATTGGACCATGAGCCAAGGGTTGGCCCACCTCCATATGATGTGGCGTTGTGTCCCCTTCCCAACGCTCAGTGTCCCTAAATAAGGCGATAAAGAGTAAAACAGAGAAAAAGAGTAATGTTCTGGTGGTGACAGAAACTAGTAGTTTAAATAGTAACTGTTACTGTACTGTACAAACTCCAGTATATATACGGTAAATGTCAACTACAGGAACTGAACGTCATCGACTCGGACCTCAGTGACAAAAGAAAACAAAATGGCGGACATAGGTTGGGGACTTTTTGTTCATGTTGACAAACAATTGTTCCAATGTTTCCTCTCTCGTGCCAAGTCATAGGTTTCTATTCTACAACTGTTTAAGTTTATTTTATTCACGTTCTTAAACTGCCTCACTAAATTACCAATACATCTCTCCATAAAAGATATTTTCATTTTCTTCCTGGAAGACACAGCATCATCGCCTTGACTAAAAACTGCTCCAAATCCACGGTGATACTGTATCTTGATGACTTTTTCCTGAGAGTCAGAAATGTTAATTTCACTGGACTGCAAATGGCGGACATAGGTTGGGGACTTTGTATGTTTCGTATGTAATCGTATGTTTTTTCACATTTTATATGACATTGTGTGAATGTATACACTGCAGACTGTACGTGTTGTTTCCTCTGTGTTTGTAAACAACAAAACTGACCAGTAAACAATCGACATCTTTAGTGTTTTTTTTGTTTTTGTTTTAAGGAAAGGAAACACGATGCTAACGTGACTTTTGTATATATTTCATAAACTCTGTATAAAAATGTATGCCTTATATAAAACGGATGATATAACAGTCATGTACCGGACTGTTCCGGTCAGTGTTGTGGTACTGATGGACAGAATTTAGACCTGAGTTCGTTGTGGGAAAATTCGATTCTAACGAGCGTCAGGCAGCGTTTCTTTGGAGCTTACACCTTCCAGACAGAAGTGTGAACGTTCTCTGAACTAATAAAAGGGACAGATGAACAGGCCAAATGACACCTAATAGATCAGGTCTTTACGACCGCCAGTTCAGAGACGAGAAGGAGACTAGCTCTGGCCAGAAGTCCCTCACTTTCAGGCTCCCAGCCCTGACCTCTTCAGGGGGGTGGGGGGGCACATCATTAGGGCCCATATAAACTTTTGAAGTTGTGAGTCCAAGGAAAGGCCAGGTATGTAAGGCAATAAAACCGTGACTTTAAATGGTAACAGGAAAAGTGAAAGAGGGCGTGACCCCTGACACAGAAATAACTACTCCAGAGCAGAGATGTCCTCTGTTTTCTCCCCTTGAATGGATACCTGTCAGCCATAACTTCTTGGTTTCCCACTGTTAAACACAATAAGAACGAGGACTAAAGGGTGTCTTTGAAGTTCTTTTTTTAAACCTCCAGTCAATAAATCCTCAGCGATATTGCTGTGCGGCCAAGTGAAACCACTAATTAATTGTGACATTTCAAATGATAGGGAAGACATTCTTCAAAGCTTTGTCATCAGGGCAAATATCTTAACCATCAGCTATAAATGAACGTGAGTCACGGGGAGATCTGTTACACGCACAGGCCAGAGCATATTTAAGTACAACGTGTTTCCTGGAAAAGAGGTTGTTCTAAGGAGTTCTGCAGGAGTGAGTGTGTATGCAAATGTTTGGGAAGCATCTAGAAGTGCATACCGAGAAGACCCCGGTATTTTCAGAGTTTATAGCTCCCTCTCATGTTCATTGGGTGAGAGACAGCAAAAGGCAGACAGAGGGTGTTTCTCCGTTGCACCTCAGCCAGGGACAGCTGACTGGTTGGGACCTAATTGCTCCTGAGTGAGGTCAGCACCAGGCATTTATCTGAGCAGTAACACAGGGACAGGGTAAGATGCAGAAGAGTCAACCTGCCAGAATCCCAGAGACATCCGTGGAAATTGATATCAGCTTACAGTTCTTGTTCAACTCTGCTGGAACTTACTGGACTTAGTTTACAACCAAGGCTGCAACTGTAGAACTCCAGGAGACTCAAACTCTCCTGAATTCTCCTGCCATCTACTGGAGCTCATGTAAGTCACATGGAAGCACACTGGTCGAGCTTTTTGTTATTTTTTTGTGTGTATATTGTTCATGTTCATATATAGAACAGAGCTGTAAACCTGTATTAGTCCAGGATTTAGATAAGGTTTTAGATGTCAAATTTTTATTTATTTATTTTTTCAAATTTCACTAACCGCTCTCCTCTTTCCATTTTTTCTACAGGGACATTTTTTCCTCTAATTCCTGAACTGGATTATAACAGGTTTTTGGACGGCGTTCTCAAGAGGATGGACAGTTACTGCGCAGCTTCGCTTATTGAAGAGCGATATTACTTTACTACACTGTAACTTGTCTTCGTTGGATAACTCTCAACAAGAGGCGACCCCAACCACGGTCACCAAGTCTCCCGCGCTGTGTCCTCCACAGACCAGACCAGTCCCGTGTCAGCATCCCCTCAGGAAGCGTTGCGGTGCAGAAGGAAGACCCAGAGGTCAAAAGCCCACAGTTACAAATTTGGGGGTCGTTGGGCTGAGGGACTGGGAGCAGATCTCTAGCTGAACTTTTCAGTATGTTGTTCATTGCTCCCCACTGTATTGCATTATAATGCGCAAATGGATGCTGACATTGAACCTTCAGAACGTGTTCTCGGGACTGTACTTGCATGCCATGTTCCTGTTTGGCAGTATGTGTGTGGTCTACAGTGACTGCACTCCACAGCAACTTGCTGCCTTCATGAACTGCTCCAGACATGAGCGCCACACCAGGAACTATGACTACATGGAGGGGGGAGACGTACGGATCCGGCAACTGTTCAGCAACACGCTGTGGTTCCTAACAATCGACGACCAGGGCAGTATCGGCGGCACGCAAGATCCCGCTGACTGCAACAGTAAGAGTTTTTTCTGTTTGTTTTTTTACTCATTACATTGTATATAAACAAGAATTTACTCAATGTCCTCTGCAGAATGGTAAATGTATTATCTTTCTCTTAAGCCCGTCAGATTGTCACTATATAAATACTGTGCTAGTAGTAATATATCATGTCAAACCATAAAGATGCAACTAAGAAGTGTTATTATACACACAGAGTTATCGGTGCTGTCATCACAGATTAAATGGACTCTGCGCTGATGTCACAATGATGAAAACGGAAAATAAGCAGTTGGGGATTTGGCTTTTAAAACGTAAACGGAGAAAATGTCATTGGGGATTGAAAATATCTCTGAGTGACGCTGGTGAAAACACTGGGGCGTGCTGGCATCAATATTAAAAAAACAAAACAAACAAAAACAAACGAAATCGAAACAATCCTCTGCCTCACGCAGAAACACCCACTCTGATGTGTCTAGACTAGAAATACTGCGTCATTTAAAAAAAAAGTAAAAACACTTCATTAGAACCATGAATGAATCATTTGATTGGGTAACTTTTAAAGGTCGTGTCTGCGAATATGGTTAAAATTTCTGCAATTGCGAGGACATTACAAAAGTCATGCAACAGGAGTGTTTCACTGACCGGGAAATGTGAGGTCTGATGGAAAAGATACTTGTGCAACAGCAGACTCATGGATCCATGACCTGACTACTGGGAGAGTTCACTTTTCTGTTGAATCTTTATGCACTGGCTGATGGCGAAAAACAGAAAAGAAAAATGAAAAAAACAAAACAAACTGATTTGGTCTCCCCTGTCTGCGCTCAGCTCTTATTTTGTTAAAATTCTAAAGTGTATTTATAACAACAAGAATAAAGAAAAGAAGAAGCAGATGAAAAAAAAAGGACTTCATGAGAACAAACATAATTTTAAAAGATAATCACTGCATTATAAAACCGGAATAATACTGGCAATAACGCAAATCATCTTTGAATGAAACATGTGTGATTTTCCTGGGAGGCTGTGGAAAAGCCTCTGGATTTTATCTGCAAACACTGGATTTAAACGCTATATAGCAACATCAAAACTATGGGATAACCTCGGGTGAGTTTACTTAGCCCGCGGCTGCAGCGGCCAGTCATGACAAATGTGTTCAAGTTGACGGCTCCTGGAGAGTCTCCACATCTGAGCCAAATGTCAACAGTGAGTGCATGCGTCTGGAGTGGGTGTGTGTATGTGTATATTTCATCTTACTGCAGTAAAATCAAACAGCTGTACCTGTACCTTTTTTTTTTTTTTTTTAGCAAAGTTAACCGCCGCTAGTCGTCAATGCAACAAATGAGGGAAAGAATAAATATAATGAAAGACACCAGTGTCGTTCCAGGTGTTGATAACTTATGGATTTTAAGTACGTCGTCAACGTGCGGCAAACTTTGTGACCGTGTCTGCCATCTGTTTGTGATCCAGCTGATGCTAAAATGCTCAACGTCAGTCTGAACAGCTTTAATAGACTTCCTCTTTTTATCTCTCCCTGTCGACTTGACAGCACACAGCCCTGGTGGTGCCGACCGAGTCATATGGCAATTTTACTTTCTTTGGACTTTCACAAGTGATTATAGTCAGTGAGGTTCTGTGGTTACATCGTTCTCCGAGTTCCTTTCGCCGTATCCCACCTCGTAGTCACTGGATATTGTATTTGATAAACGTGAGCGCGGTCAAATTGACTTTTTATTTACTTTCCCTAAAGATGTAAAATCATTTGGACCACATTTATGTGCACATATAAACATTTGCATCGGTTGTATGTTAACATATTGCAAATGTAAATCCTTAAATGCAATATACTTTGAACATTGAACGCACGTCCAGTAGACGCTGATTACCTTTATCCTATTGAGAATGATTGCATGAAATGAAATACTGCCTCCAGGAATATTTCCTAGAAGTATTGTTGTGTGGACCATTCATTCTCCTCCTGCATAATAAGAGCTGGCGTACCGAAAAAGCCAAGTGTGTGACCTCTCCCACATGTTGAGGAGCAGGTCTAAAACGTAGCGTGCAAAGCTCAGACAAAGAGGTAGTTTCCTCCGTCCCAGAGGATCGAGAGGCCCAATTTGTCTCCCATATGTGCAATGAAATAGGCTGTGGTTTGTGTAATAGCCACCCAGGCCATTAACAAGGCTTGAATAAAGCCAGAGAGACCAGAGACTGATTAAGCACAGGAGCCGCCATCCATCCTGTGTTTAAATGATGATGAATGTTGAGTGCGGTGTGGTGATAAAACCTAGACAACCATCTCTTATCTGTTTCCCTCTGTGACTGTCTGGCAGGTATCCTGGAGATCCGGACAGTGTCTGAGGGAGGGATACTCGCCATCAAGGGAGTCAAGAGTCAGCGGTATATTTCTATGACCAAGGCAGGGGTTCTGCAAGGCAAGGTACGAGTTTGCCCACAATTAGAAATAGTGTTGATAATGGTTCTGCAAGGCAAGGTACTAGTTTGCGCACAATTAGAAATAGTGTTGATAATTTTTGTGTTGATTGATTTTTAAACTGTTCTTCAAGGGAAGCTGGTAATACAAAGAGCTACTTGTTTGATATGGACTTCCAAGAGTTATAATAATTTAAAAAAAACTTGTTTTATTTAGAAGACTAGTTTAATTTTTGGAACATTACACCAGGGGTACATTAAGTAGTCCATGGGGGCTACCTGGTGACCCCGGGCACCACGTTGGTGACCCCTTAGTCTAGAAAAAGAACTGCAGCCCAGAGTAGGGTCAGAGGTTAGGAGGCGCTGACGCTCTCCACTTTACTGTAACAACATTTTCACATCTCTCTATTCCAGGAGAACTACAGTGAAAACTGCAACTTCAAAGAGGTGTTTCTAGAAAACTACTTCAACGCGTACTCCTCCGCTAAATGGACTAAAAACGGCAAAGAAATGTTCATAGCCTTGTCTCCGAAGGGGAAACCCATCCGAGGGAAGAAGACCCGGAGGGAGCAGAAATCCTCTCACTTTATCCCCATGAAGTGCCAGGAGGATGACAAGAGGGTGGACTGAAAATGACAAGGGCCCGGACGCACTGTGTCTGAGGCGTCGACTTCATCAGCTTCCACGCAACCATGTGTTGAGTTGTATATCTGTAGTGTAACATACGGTAAAATGTATTATTTTTATATAATAGTTTTTTAAACATCTGGAAATAAGATGTTGGAACCGGTTCAATCCGTTCACAAGCGCTAACGTCATTCAGAGTTGTTTTGCTCTCGTGTTAAACTATCATATCTCCTTTAAACAGCTGTTTGACTACCAACAGACACACACACACACACACATATATGCATATATATGTACATATATGTTTGTCCATATATTTATGTATAATATATAAATATATAATATATAAATATATATAAATATATGTATGTACGTATATGTATATACATATAGAGTATATATATAAAACTATAACTACAGTACTAGAGCTGTCAAAATAATAAAACCTGAATAAACACAGGGGATTATCACAATTAATCGTGATTAATTGCGATGGTAATAAATTGTCATCACAACAACAAAATCTATTTTTCCTGTATACTGACGGAACAGAAATAAAGGTAGATTTCTTTGGTTTAATCTAAACAATTGGTTGGTGGATTTTGGCCAGTACTGTGTCCCAACGGTGACTCACAGGACGCAAAGACAGTTGTAGATTCTCTGATTAAACAAAAACTCTTTCTAGCAGTGTGTGTAAATAACAACTTGTATCAATTCTACCCATGGGTTACAATGGGCTAAAATGTTTCATCTGATTCATTTCCCAAATGAATTATCATGGTTAACGCGTTCATTCTGACAGCACTAAAAAATACACAATCCAATGACGGAGACCTGTTATGAACAAGACGAGACGTAGCCATGGCATCGATGTGCCGAAGCAAGCTGGACTTGCCACGACTACAAGGCTGTCAAACCAGCGACCCTTTAACCCCCGCGGTGAAAGGCTGTTGTTTTAAAGGAGAGACTGTAGAAGCATCTGTTAATGGACGACCACTGTGGATGTGGACTTGTGGATTTGCCTGTTCTGTCCTGCATTGAAACCCAGACTTTGGTCAAATGCATCATAGCTGCTTCTTCCTTACAAAAAAACGGTTTGTTTTTGAAATACTAAAATATTCTAATGCTGCTGATGGAAAGATGAAACAACAAAGTTGAGAACACTATAAATGTTCTGTTCCTTTTCATTGGATCAACCGGTCTGGTACATTCAAAGATTGTATGTGTATTTATTGAAATTGTGTTTCTAAGTTTTATTTTTTTAATTCTATCCAAAACTCAAATAAATCCTAACCTACTGTCTTCGCATAAATCTATTCAATATTTTCATCCTGGAACCACATAAAGGTACGTTTAAGCTCCTCGATGTGTGTGTTTTATTTATCACAAACCAGAATGCATACAAAGTTATTTGGCTTCGAGCTACGACTGTTAAATGCAACTGTTTTCCAGCAGATAACTGTATAAATAAAAGCCTTTCTACAAGAAATGGTCAACATCTCCATTCTCTGTTCCACAAAGAAATAAAACCTTTTTTTTTTTTTTTAAATCGTTCTACAAGAGGCTACGTACAGATGGCGAAAAAATATATCTCACAACATCACGTCACACCCTATCAAAATGTCTTCCTTAGAAAAGTTGAGTGGAGGAAAAGTTCCAGAGCACACTGTTACTGATGCTAACTTTAAAAACTGTATCAAGCCATAGACGACCGATCATCAACTGGTGGGTCGCCAGTCCAATCCTGCCCGCGACTGGATTCCAACTGAAGTCTTTCTCCCCCCACAAAGGTGTTCCACATACACAAGAAAACAACACCAGGAATATGTAAGTTTATGGGATCAAGGCAAGTTGATTGACATTTTAGTTACCGGAAGATTCGGCAGGTCTCTGAGTGAGAAGTCAGTCTCTGTTTGTACGTTTGAAATCAGCGACGGTTTTGTTCAACATTTCCACTCTGCTGCCGTGCCTTTCTTCTGTGATGTGAAGAAGCAGCCTCTGGTGCGTCATGTGATCATCGCTCTCGTGTGGCGCTGACACTGGGCGAATGCCTTCGCCCTCATTGTTGTGGATACGGACGACCACAGTAACATTTTTCCATCTACGCACTTTCCCTCTGACCGTGGAGATGACAAAGTGTAAGTAAGGTCACTTCTCCGTCATCAGCGTAATGAGTTGTCAAATTTGGCATTAAAGGGACGAGTTAAAGCCAAACCTATTCCATCAAAGAGCAGCAGCCTGCGTCTCAAGCCTCATTTCCTTGGTAAATTGTCAGAGTTTTGTCAACAGATTGATCATCAACAAACTCTTCTAATTTTTTAAACACTAGTCCTTAAAATGTTTGCGTAACTTTGGTTAAAATGACGTCCATTATATTTTAGTCACACTACAATGGCAACACATGTGATCATGAAGAAACAATATTATCGACCCGATATTAGAATGATTATGTAATACCTGTTAGAATCGTTATTAGTTTTTCCTCTGATAATGAAAATCGGTCAACACAATGCCTGGGTTTCACTAAATATGCTGGAACCACTTGTGGGTTTCTTTCATATATCGATATTGGTTGATATCGAAATTGGTTATTAGGTTTTTGGACAATAACGGCATATTGAATTTTGGCAAACAGTTAATATCAGACATCCCAATCTAAATTGCAGTATCGGTACTGGATAAAAATGTTGTATGGAGCCATCCCTAGAGATTATCATACTATATCACATAAGATGTTCATTTTGAAAGTAATGACTTGTTTTATTAGACAATAAATATGTGAAACCGGTCAAAAGTCTCAGTAATTCTGTAAAACTTCAGGGTCTCGTGGGGGGGCTTGTCAGAGCATTAAAATATCAACCTCATACTGGCAGAGTGCCGACACCACATACATGTACATGTACATGTACATGTACATGTACATAAACCTGCCAGTGAGTCACACAGCTGCGCAGAGCGCTGGCTTTTTGACCTCGTTGTCAGAGTTCACATCTGGCTCAGTGAACCCCTGTCGGACCAAGAGAGTCAAACTGAGAGCGCAAACCCCTGAAATACGTTTGACCCAAACAACATGGGAGCAAGGTGAAGGCTTCTGCCAAGTCACGCAAAGTTAGTCTTAGCAGATAATTTGTAACATGCTCAAAATGTAAACACATTTCAGGCTCAAGGCTGTGTATTCCCAGCAGTGAGGGGAGAGGCTGAAGCCAGGGAGAATGAGAGAAAACTGTCATAGGCGTTAAACTGCAGACATAAAAAAAAAACAAAAAAAAAAAAAACACATGCAAGCCAGACTCATAAATATTACTCCGTGTGCAATCCAAGAGCCACAGATTTGAGTTTAATAAATGCTCCTGAAATCATAAATCACTCTAAAAGTCTTTTTTATGCTTTGTTCTTTCAGAAACTCCGTGCACTTGTCTTCATCTGTTGTCTATTACAGATATCAAAAAGTGAAATTACGAACGCGGCCAGCAACGTGTTTAAAAGCTTGCCAGAGATTTTAATTTTTTTAAAGAGTGATAAATTATCATCATTTGTTTGTAAGAGTTTAAAAATAACACGAGCCGTTTTTTAATATCACCTGGAAGAACAACAGTGATCGCACTGACATGATGGAGTATTGAAGCGGGTAGAGAGGAAGCTGCTGAGCGTTTTTATGAAATGATGTCTCGTTATTTATACAGTCGTTTCAAACAGGAACTCCACCTTTGCATGAGTGGAACCTGAATGTGGAGACGAAAATCTGACAGTGAAGAAGACTTCAGAAAGACTGTAAAATATCAGGGTCGGCCTCAGGACAGCCGGAGAAGCGTGTGGCCCCTAAGCATAGAGTGATCACTGGAAGGTCCAGGGGAGGTGGGGGCGGAGGGGCTCAGTTTAACACATTTCAATCAAGGGTTATGTAACCTGGAACTCTCTCTGTAGCAGAGAGTCAACAGATCACTTTCAGATACTCACGACAGTACTGACTGGGAATTTTCCAGTATGATGTCTCACTTTTAAAAACAATTCAATGATCATTCAGAGTGTGCGTAGGTGCATTAATCAACAGAAATGCTGCCCCCTGCCTGTAATTTAGTTTTGCCAAACAGTGGGATTCTTGATGGAAATGATTACCTGTTTCATTTGGACCAACATATTTAGTTTTGTGTTACAGGCTTAAAAAAAAACAACTGAATAATATCTGCCTCTGATTCGAAGACACAGGTCTGAAGTTCCTACCAGAAAAACAACAACATCTTAATCATCACTATACGAACGTTAGAGAGTGAAATGAGAAACACCAGGTGTATCACAGTTCACCGAAAGTGCTGTATCTGTTGGGAAAACAAACTCAGAGCTCAGAGAACAGCTGACTGTGATTGTCCACAGCAGTGAGAACTCTCTGAGAACCCCTAAAGTTTACGGTGGGCTATATTTACACAGGAGACTACAACATAACCACAGCTGAAATCCCATAATAAAGGCCAGTCCCTGAGTTTATTTTCCACTGTTTACAAATTCCAAAGAGGCAATAATCGGAAAAGAAGATGTTTATGTCTCGTACTTCTATGATCGTTTTATTATTTTATGACGCAGTAAAAAATTATGCCACACTATTTGTCTTCCTTCTTTTTGCTGCTACTGTAGCTTTGGGCTAACCTGACGGATTCATACATGATTTGACTGATATCAAACAATGCTAAAGGGAATTTAAGGATATTTTTAATAAAGTTTTTAATTTGAAAATAAATAGTATCAAAGTCTCAGTTGTTGCTTGTTTCGGTTGCTTTAACAGCAGACACCACATCATTTATCCTTCGATTTTCACACAGTTTTGGAATCCAGTCACGGGGCCAGATTGGACAGTTCAGTGGGCCATATTCAGCTTGCGGGCCACCAGTTGATGACCACTGCTTTATGGTTTATTTTTAGGCCGTTCCATAATAAATGTTTGCCTGTTAATCCGAGGGCCACCAGTTGATGACCACTGCTCTATGGTTTATTTTCTGCTGTATACTGTGCAGTGCCAGTACAAGACAATAGTAGGTATTTTGGATGTATCTAAACAATTGTGTAGTGAAGTAAAAATGGAAAGATAAGATTTTTAACAGCTGTCGATACATTGTAGAAGCTCGTGTGTTAGTTGAGTGGACATTACCTGATATCATGAAGAAATCCTGCCTTCACGATGTTTCTAGAAAAAAATTGAAAAAAAAAAACCAAGTCAATATGTAGCAGCGTTGACAGACGAGGACAAAGTGGTTGGACAGAACTGAAACGTTTCATATTAAATATTGATCTCCTTCAAAGGTTGCCTGACTGTATTTGAAACTGGCAACAACATGAAGGGGGGGAAAAAAAACAATACATCATTGACATGAGCTTCTCTTGGAATGTTGTCAACAGTAAAACTAACATTAGTGAAATGTGGTCAGACAGTCAGACTAAACAGGAGATGGAGGGAAGTAAATGGATTTTAATGAGATGACATGTCAGGATCAAATATGATGCGGGCAGATGCATTTACACTGTTATATAAGGCAATAAAAGAATGACAAAAACACAGAAAACTACATTAAAATAAGGTCTGTTCTAAGGGTCTGTTTAAATCTGCAGATGAAAAGCGTCAGTGATTTTTATGCTTTTTAAAAAAATTAACTTCTAACTATCTTTTGGCTAATTCTGAGTCTTTTCTCCTTCTGTGGACATTGTTTAATCTTTTGATTAAGCATCTTGTTTTCCGTCTTCGTTAAATTTTATTGTTATTGTCAATCAATTTATTAACAACGCTAATGTAACAAATGCATTTGCTACCCATTAAATAATTCAATTCAAATAAATAGGTCACAGTGCCATTAATACATATTTTAATTATTAATGGTTTTCATAATCACAGGTGTAGTGAAACCTTAAATATCTACACATTATTGAATCTTGGATTACATGTAAACCTGACGTGTAGAATAACTAGCAATGATAACTTGTGTCTGGTCGTCTGGATCTCATGGGAAAGCCTGAAACAAACCACAAACATTGCATGTTGTGATTGTGTTGAGTCGACTCTGAAAGGTCTGCTCTGATACACATCTGTTTGCCACCAACGTCTGCATGTTTTTGAAAACTATGATGACAATTCAGGTATCTTTGAAATCTGACATAAAACGATCTGTTTTACATCACACCAAGCACATGTGGCTTCAAGCAAAACAAACACAATTTAATATTTTTCCCCATGTTTATCCCTTTGATCCGTAATAGCAGGGAAATATCTGTGTAACCAGTCTTTGGTAATGTAACATTATTCTAAATGAAACCAGCTGCAGAGGATCCCAGAAATTTCCAGCATGGCAGACGGAATACAAATTATAAAAATTGAATGGAATCACTGCTTTATTTGATTGTCAACATTGATTTTCATTTATGTTCTTTCCACACTTGGAAAATCTGAAAAGTTAATGGTGTTCAAACATATGGGTCCAAGCTGTGCTAGAAACATTGACTGTAATTGTGTGAATAGAGTGTGAAATTACAAAAGCAAATATTAGAAGCCTTTGTGAAATGTCTAAAGGTAGAACAGACAGAATGTCAGCTCCTTCTTTCACATACACCATTAAGTTCTGACCAGAGATGTATGTAAATACAAACTGGACAACGATCATCATCATCATTAAGGCGGATTGTTATCTCAATAAAGAGTGGAAAAGATTTGCCAGTGATTTACAAAAAAAGGAATAAGTCCTAAAACTCAAAGTTAAATGGTAAATATCTAATAGTAAGCCAAATATGTTTAAATAAATAATTATCAATTTTAAATTACCTATACTGTAGCTCAAAGAAACAACTGCAGCCAAAATGTGTTGCATAAATGGCTAAAGGGGAGTTTAATTTTTTTTAAATTAAATTAATTAGTAAAAAGTAAATAAAAGGATAACTTAAACTTACCTTAAATGTTATTTCCATAGCATACCTGCTAAAACTATGCAAATTACAGTATCAAGAATATTAGCTTAACTTATTTAATTATTCATTTTTAAAACTTTGGGTTTATGGTTGTTTGGGGTTTTTTTTATCAACGATGTCTTAGTCTCGTTAGCTTCACGAACTTCCGTCTCTACCTTAAATCTTCACTCTGCTTCCTGTTTGTCACGTCGTCATTTCCGCTAGAGAACTCACGCTCTAACGTGACATGAACCGGAGCTTTTTGTTTTCCCAATGGTATGGAGATATTTACCAGATGACCTACTGCTTCTCAAAGTGACATTTGCTCTGGTACTGATTGCGTTTTCGTTTGAGCCGCTGCGGTTTAGTCTATTGACGTCAGTGGTTAGAAGCGAAGCTAACGGGAGCTGCTTTGACGAGCACGAGTCAAGCATGTTGACTCACTGTGCTGCATTGTGGGAAAAAAACAAAATATTTGCATCCGAACACGGGCGCCAATTCATTACATTGACTTATATGTTGTCGCTCGTTTTTACTGACGAATCGATAAGTGCACACCAATCCATCGTAACACGAAAATTCGTATTTGTACTCGTGTGTATTTGCCTGGCTTTTCTGTATTGCGCAGATTAAAATCATCATTAGGAAATAAATGTTTAAAGTAAAGAAAAATAATGAAGGCATATTTTACCGATTATTTTATCAGTGTAAACGTATACATTACATTACATTTAGCAGTATACACAACACTAAATCGCACACACGTCCTCTGCTATAACTTTTTTAACATCAGGAAGCTGAGGTTCTATTAAGTAGTCTTAAAATGGATATATTTGTGTAATTTGAAAAATAAAAATGAGAAAATGAAAACAAAGGGTCAAAGAAAGTTTAATTTTTATCCTTTTTGTTCTGAGTGGCAAAACAAATGTGTATTACATTACATTTTAAATTATGAATCTGAGTAACATTTGTCCTTAATAGTGTTTTAAATTTGTACTAACTAGGTCCAGAAATTAGCTAGTGATTGGACCAAGACATTGATGACTTCAAGTCACACTTACTTGTTTTTGATTGGACCAAGACATTGATGACTTCAAATCACACTTACTTGTTTTTTTCTGTGACTTGGAATAGACTTGAATTTCTGTGACTTGACCCAGACCTGGAACCCTGCGGACATAGGTTTGACCTTTTATTTGAGACACTGATGTCTCTTCTGAGGCTGGGCAGACTTCTTCATCTTAACCTGTTTACAAACAGACTTGTTTTTGGTTTTTGTTAATTGGCAGACTCTGACTTTAAAAGCTGTGTTCACAGTAATTCAATTTGGTCGTCTAATTCCTGATTCTCCTTCGTCTTCAGCTGTAAACCGAGGCCTGCAGTATTAAAGCACTGGTCTGTCAGCATTTTAAAAGGCAGAATGAGCAGCTTGGATCGAGACCAGTATCTTCATCTTGGTTGCCGTGACAAAATAACAGACTCCAGTTCCTCACCAGACGCTCGTCCGCCAGCCAAACACCCTCTCCACGGTTTACAATTGGCATCACATGCAGTGCTGGAGAGGGCGCAGCAGAGGGGCAGATTGAAGTGCTCTAAATGTGGAGGATCAAGGATGTTTTTCTGCTACACATGCTGCTCATTATTGGGTGTCGGCCTACAAGAAATTCCCTCAGTCAAGGTCAGTAGGAGGTTAGGACTTACTTGATTGTTCCCATTAAAAGGAGGCCATCAGTTGTGGAGCTGCTGTATTAGGTTTGTTTTGTACTGATCTGGAAGATTTTTTTTTTGAAAGATCAATGGAAGTTGAGCACACGGTGTTGTTAAAATATTTTTTAACTATTCTGTTTATGTTCAGCTTCCTGTGAAGATTGACATCATAAAGCATCCTAATGAGACCGATGGCAAAAGTACTGCGGTCCACGCCAAGCTGCTCGCGCCTAATGATGTCAGTTTATACAAGTATCCCTGTATACCGGACTATGACAAGGACAAGGTCAGTCGTTGATCAGTAACCCCCCGTGGTGTCTTTGGGAAAGTATTTTCACGCATGTTGCTAGTAACAAATAAGTTTTACCCTGTACTTTTGGTAATGCTTACTTCCAAAACTGCCAGTACAGAAATGCAGTAATATTGTAGAATATTGAGGAGTACTCACTATTCTGTAATATTGAATACTACTGCATTTAGTAGTATTAAAACTGCACAGTGTATAAGATGCACCTAAAATTACTTATGACGATCACACTTCATATATGAGAACAGGATACTAACTAAACTATTGGGAAATTGTATTCTCTAATAGTAGAAGTAGTAACTACTACTACAAAAACGTTTATTCTGGGTTTGAGGTTAACGCACAAGTTTGTAATATTAAAGTCAGGGTGTTATTTTTTAGTTTCTCACAGATTTCTGTGTGTAAGAATAGCCTTCCCACATGTTGGTAATAACTGCACAAAATACCCTGGAAATGAACAGGAATGTTAGAGAAATATATATAGTTTTACGGTCAAAAAATATAAATATCTCAAACAGTTGTTTCCTGCTGTAAAAACTGCAGGAAATAATTTAAGGGCCTCACAAAACATTTCCATGGGCCAGTTTAGGGCCCCAGGCCACACTTTGGACACGCCTGACCCTGTCAGTCATCTCAGTTGTTTATTTCTAGTGCTCAATTGTCATCACATTTTTGCCGCTTGTCTTTCATGCCTTGTGGAAATACACCATTGTCACTGCATCGTATTTGCTTTTTTCATCTGTATTTTATTTTTCCTGCACGCAGATGCCGTTGAGTCATGTTTCCATCCTGTTCCTATTCAACAAAATCACACTATACTGACGTAAAAGCCTGTTTTTGATCATTACATTCACCTTTATTTGTTGTAGAGTAACCATGCTTATCCATTGATCCGCTTCACGATGACAAATGTGGAATTTATAATATGCTGTGAGGTTTGAATTAGTTTTTTATTTTTATATTTCATGCTTGGCAAGTTTGTTTTGGGGAATTAGTTTTATTGGCTATAATCAAGTGCAGAATTACAGTGGCTTAAGTGCACACGCTATCTAGTAACATTATAGTTTTTTTTATTATTATTTTAAATGATTTCAAATTCTTTTTCCGTCTTCTCGGTTCACTGCAGTGTTAAAGGTTCTCAGCCCACATGTGGTTTCTTCTAATTGCAAAAAAAAAAAAATCATCATTATAATATTAGAATAAACGAATACTGCTTGGCAGACCATGATCAGCTCAGTCAGCCTCTGATTGGCTGACCTTAAACAGCTACCTAATTCAGTGGCAGTGATGCCTTTAGTGTCCTAAGGAAAAACTGGAAATGCAGTTTAATTAAAACCAGAAACATTATCTGTCTGTGTACTTACAACAAAAGTTCTCAAATATGTCAAAGTGCAGGGCAGTCCCCAGCAGGGGTCACTACGCTATTGCAGTGGAGCAAAATTTAATAGGGAATTAAGGCATCACTACGCTATTGCAGTGGAGCAAAATGAATTTAATAGGGAATTAAGGCTGTGTGACAAGGGGTGGGGGCATAGGAGCTTGATAATAATTCTGCAATAGAGGGGCGCTGGAGAAAAAATTTGAGAACCATTGCTTTACAGCAAGTAGTAGTTCCACAGTGTAGTGGTTAACACTGTGGAACCACTACTTGACTTACACAACGGCCTTAGTCTTCACTCTTAATTTCCCATGAGAGTGAAGGTGAGTGTGAACGATTCCCCCCCCCCCCCTTCACCCCCAATGGCTGCTGGTTTACACATGTGTGACCATATGCCCCGTCTTGTGTGTTTCCACTTTCCAGGTGGTATTGCTGTTCCCTGGTCCAGGGGCCGTCTCGGTTCAAGATATGATGCAATGTTTGCTTGACAGGCATGACAGCAGGTCACATGACTCAAGTGAACCCCGCGTAAAGAGGCTCAAAACTGAGGGAGTTCAAGGTAGAGCAGGCACGGCAAAGAGACCAGAAACAGATACTCCAGATGAAGGAGAGGACCCTGAGTCAAGGTTGTTTCCCCTCCAGAGGGTGGTGTTCATCGACAGCACGTGGAACCAGACCAAAAAGATCAGCTCAGATGAAAGGCTGCAAGGTAACCTCAGTTTTTCCACTGCTCTACATCACTAAGGTTTTCTTCATCTGTCTAAAGTAAAACGACTGTCCTGTGTTCCCCCACAGGTCTGCTCCAGGTAGAACTGAAGAGCAGGAAAACATGTTTTTGGCGCCACCAAAAGGGCAAACCTGACACTTATCTTGCTACCATCGAGGCCATTTATTATTTCCTGAAGGACCTTCATGAACATTGCCTTGCTCAGGAGTACAAGGGAGATTATGACAATCTCCTCTTCTTCTACTCCTTCCTGCATTCTGTCGTCAACAAATCAATTTCTGAAGGAAAATCCTGGAAAGAAAACAATGTGGGAGAAACAGGACCTGAGTCACAGGACGCTGCGGTGAACAAAGGCTGAAAAGGAATCAGACAGAGAGACTTTTCATCTTAGGGATGTTAAAATGATCAGTTTGATGAAAATATGAGGCCTACAAAATGTTTTTTTTGTTTTGTTTTTTTTAAATATTTTATTTACAAATCAGTGCACATTTACTTTATGTCCTTTTTTTTTAAACATCAGGAGAAAAAAAACATTTCCTGATTCGTGACAATTCACTTGTCCTAGACCCAATAAATCTGTTCTCCAAACAACTCTACATTCTGTGTGTTTGCGTGTCTGTCGCCCCCCCACCTGCTCGGCCACTGTACTGTACATGATATTCAGAAGCAGATGTTTTCTAGTAGTAGGCCTCTCTGATCTTGGCCTGGAGACTGTCACAGGTCTTCTTTGCGTCTCCCAGCAGCATGGATGTGTTGGGTTTGTAGAAAATGGGGTTATCGACTGCAGCGTAGCCCACGCCCAGAGTGCGCTTCATCACTACCACCTGGAACACAAACGTGGTAAATGTCTTTTTCGCATCTGTTAAGCTGCAGCCACCTCTGTTTGGTGCATGTACATATACAGTATACACAGTATATACAGGTCCCCGTTTGAGGCTGTGACTTTCTGAATGCACACATATGTTTATACCCATTAGCTTAGCATCTTGTACAGGTGTAATGTTCATGCCTTAGACCAGCAGTAACTTTTCAAGCTGTGATTATCCTGACATTCAAATGCTTGCATAGTGTGACCGTGTGTGGGGGAGTGGACGGGGTTTAGGGATATTTTTAACACCAACCTGCTTGGACTTCCATACTTCCAGGACAGGCATTCCAGCAATAATGGAGTTGGGATCTTCTTGGGCTGCAGAATTCACTGTGTCGTTGGCACCGATGACCAGTGTCAGGTCTGTCTCTGTAGGAAACAGACATGCAGATTTATAAATACTGTAAATATGTATACAAATATATACATACACATATGCATACATATATGGACATATACATACATATAAACACCCATATACTGTATACAAACTTACAAATATATTTTCTTTATACATGTACACAAACATAAAAAACAAACAGACCCCTGCCAAGGGTTCTGTTATTGTCTTTACTAATCTCTCTGGGTTCTGCAGCACTGCACTTATCTCTGCTTTTAAAAACAGAACCATATGTCTCAGACTGCATGCCTGGTTGCTAAGAAAACAAGGCTGTTGCCCTGATAACATGGCATATCTAAATAACACTAGGTCGTTGCACGCACAGTTCAAAGAGACGAGAAACAATTATTAAGCACAATTAATCAAGTGACTTAATTTCATCGGACGCATGTCTCCTGAGGTGACAGCCACCAGAGCAGCAAACATGTTACGTAAAACACCGGCCTAACAAGTTTACCAGGGAAGTCTTCGTTGATCTCGTCCATCTCCAGGACCACGTCGTAGGGAACACCAGCCTCAGCCAGGAGGACGTTCAACTGGCCCGGCATTCGACCGGCAACTGGGTGAATTCCAAACCTGTGAAGAAAGAAAAATGATTTCTTTACCACTGCTGAAGTTTGTTTTTGGAGTGGTGGAGTACATTTTATGAGGAGTTAGGTGGGGACAACCTGTATCTGTACAGTATGTGGTCCAACTTGACATAGGCGGCAGATACAAACAACCATTCACATTTATGGTCAACAGTTACCAACTAATATAATTAACCAACATTTACATGAATCTCCTGCAGTACATCCATTTACCCACTAGTTAAAGACCTCTGGTCTAAATGGTCCATTAGTGTATTTTTGGAAGTATCTAAAAAAATAAGAAATTACAGTTTATGATTGTAGTGTTAAAGCTGCGGTGCCCTGACATGAAGCGTCCACTCACAGTATATGTGGGGTCTCCTTTCTTGAATGTCAGATCTTGTATTGTGTTTATTTTTGAAGAAACTTAATCTAGTGAACGATCACCAGTCAAGAGGGCAGGGATTACTAATCTAATCTAATCTAATCTCCAGCAGCAGTCATTTGTATCTCTAAGGGTCATAAATGAAGGTTTCTGACAGTCCTACACAAAGTCCTGTCTTAGATGTCATTAGAAATCTGTGGATTCAACTAAAGACCGGGTCCAGTGCCAGAAGTCCATCAGCGTACAAGCAGACTTAGACTTTTATGGAACCTGTTCTGTTCCAGAGACTGCAGTCTGTTTTGAAGCTCCGGGGGTCGACAACAGGTCATTATCATCGGAGGAGCTGATATTCTTGACAAGTCATGTCAGTCGCCCTGTCCGTAACAAACACACACCCACCTGACAGTTTTCCCCTGTTCCCTCAGCATTTTCACCATGTCTGCAATCGGGTACTGAGCTTTGGCTGCACACAGACCCCAACCTGAAACACAGACACGCACGGAGAATAAACACATATTCTGTATTTTTTTAAATCTGCAGCAGAGCTCAGCAAGTGAGTGACAGATGTTGATGAAATGTTCTGAACATGCAGATTATGCCCCCAAGGAAAAACAATGATTGAATTTAGGTGATGATCTGAATTTGGACCCAGTGTACCAGCTCCGTGGGAAAGTGAGCAGCCTTGGCTGGGGTTCTCTGTCTCCGTCTGAACATTTACTCTAAAAATGTAATACGACTGAGGTTATTATTGATTTTTTTTTTTTACAAACAGCATTTAGTCTTCAATATAAACACTGACCTCTTGGAGGGTTCACCAAAATAACCCATACTCTAAGCCTTCCTCCTGTCATTTGTCCTCTGCGTGTCTACATTCACCCCAAGTCTCCTCTCTTTATTAAATCACTGTGGTTCACTCTTCTGAAAAGCATTCATCACCAGGAAACTTTTGCGTGCGTGCATGTGGTTCCCCTGCGTGCAAAGAACTCCTTCCCCTGTATCCGCACAACCCCAACTTTACCCTGACGGTCAGGTACCTCGTAGAGTTCAACATTACCCCTAATCGAGTATTTAGGAGCGAGTCGACCGTAAAGCGTATCTTCTAATTCCCCAGACAACTGAAACCTCCTGTTTCCTCACTGCTGTGCTTTGTTGTTGAAAGCACATGGAGAAGTCCTGAGTCTGGACTCAATAGCGCCTATGACTTTTCACTGTTCCCTTAATCAAAGCATCATGTTGGACCACACAGCTGTCCGTGCCTTTGGTTTGGAGTTGTTGCAAAACAAAGGCAATCCAAGTTATTCCGAGTGGTTCCTCTTGCTCTGGCCACTTCACAACTTCTCAGTTGTCAGACAAGTCTGGCTTTTTGCTTTTAATAAATCAATATGTGGCCGTCACCTCAACAATAAAAGCCATCATCTTTTCCTTTTTGTTGAAAAATGAAAAAAAAAGAAAAAAGAAGAAAGCCCATACTGACACTTTGCATGTGTCTAAGTGTGCCCAGCTCATCATTTATGGGGAAACTGCTCCCTCTTGTGGACATAATGCTTCAGAATTTACCGTTGAATTTTAAATCTCAACTTTGCCACTTGTGTCAATGCCTTGACCATTTCCAAACATTGTGCTGAAATAAGATCTTCTCCTAATCTTTCAAAATCTTTCACACTTTTTTGATCTCCACTGTGGTTAAAAATGACAGCCAATAATCAAATAAAGCTCAAATAAATAATAGCAAACCAGATGAGAACAAATTTCCTTTGGGATGCAGAGAGCTGGAGCTTTACTTGCAAAAAATGTCAAATTGTGATCAGATAATTTGGTATTAATGGATAATGATAAATTATACTACATTTTATTTCACCCTTTGACATTTATGTAAAACAAAACAATAACACCGTCATTCAAAGCCTCCAATAATTTATAAAGAGCCTTTAGAAATAGAGGCAAAATATGGTAAAAACAAATCATTTTTTATGTGTTTTGTAACTAGAAGGTTTGTTTTAACCACAACACATTTCAGCATCCATTAAATTTTAAAGGACTGTGAAATATTTTTCTGGTTAAAATAATGCTGCGAGACTATTTTTGTTTTTGGCCTGACCTTACAAAGATTTATTGCTAAACTTTGTCATCGCATTTTTCTCACAGCATTTTCAGGAGCATGTATGTACAGATTTTAGTTACAGATTAGGTACATTTTTGTTCTGTTATTTAATTTTTACCTCAATACTGCTTTTTGATGCAACAGGAAATGAAGAAGAACAACTTAAAATAAATTGGTCAATTTCAGTTTCCAAGATCACAGGAGCGGTTGAGTCTAATTCCTGAACTTTTTTTGAAAAGATTTTTTATCTACCTGGTGTGATGATGATGTTGCTGGCTTCCTTGATTATATCAATGGTCTGATCCAGATTGACCTCAGTGTGAGTGCCAACAATCTCCATGGGTTTACCGCCCAGTGAGGAGGTGGTGCCGTACCCACCCAGGATCACGTTGGGCAGAGAGCGATTCATTGCCTTGGAAGAGAAAATGAGTCAAAATAGTACAGGTTGAAGAAACACTGTAGTGCTGAGTAAGCCTTGAAGTTCTTTTGGACGATGATGATTGTACTGACCACACACATAATATAAGACAGGATGGCACCCGACGAGCCAATCAGAGCTCCGACAATTGTCATCAGGTTATTGTTGAGCAGGAAACCTTCTGCACAAAGAGCCCAACCAGAGTAGCTGTTTAACACGGTGATGACCACAGGCATGTCAGCGCCCCCGATGGCTGCTGTTAGGGTTACACCCTGTTGAGAGATTGAAGAAAGTCATTGCTACTACCGTATTTTCCGGGCTATAAGTTGCTCCAGTGCCCTTTAGCGTGTGTCAGTGGGAAAATAACAAACATAAAAAAGATGTATTTTAATATATGTCACATCTGAGTATGAGTCATAAACACGGCCAAAGGATGGAAAAAAGTGCAACCTATAGCCCAGAAAACACGGTACCACTAAGCTGTAACTGCTGATCCAAATATTTTAAAAATATATAAAAAAAAATATTCCCACTGCCCAAAAATAAAAAATAAAGGTTTTATACCCTTGGTTTATCTGTAGCAAAATACCACTTAAAATTTCTTTAGTGATACATTTGATTTATAACTAAAAAGATGAAACATAGTATACACTTAAATAAATCTTTGACTGGTTCAGAAGTCACGTCAAGTAAATGTAGTTTTGTTTGTAAAGCCCAGATTCACAAATCAAATTTGTCTCATTGAACTTGAGTTTTAATAAAGAAACTCACCATCACAGTAGAAAGCCCTGACACCCCCAGCAGACAGCCCATGCCAGTACCATAGCTGGAGCTGAGCATAAAAGGCACCATTCCTCCCACTGACGCTGCCATCAGACCTGCGTTCAGCATGTGTCGTCCTGGCAACATCAGAGGGGTGGAGTCCAGGATACCTGCAGAGAGCAAGAAGTATAAAACATGAAGCATCGTCACAATTGTTGCTGTGTTTTTGTGTGTTGAGGTCAAACACCATTTCCTATTGGCAGTAGCTAAGATATTCGGACAATATAGAAAGAGAAAGTCAAGGCAATTTAACACTGTTATTTAAATTCAGTGTTTTAAAACTGTAATATTGTATCCTAGTTCTGACATTTCTAAATGTCTTATTTAAAAATAATAAGTTAGAAGTTAGCCAAAACTTTGCTATTAGTGACTCCTGCATTGAATAAAGGGTAAAAGTTTGAAGCATCTTGTCAGTGCTACAAACCTTTAGACAATTACCTTGAAGCTTGCCGTAGGCCACTAGTGACCCGCTGAAGGTGACGCCCCCGATGTAGGTACCCAGATACGCTACAGTCTTGAGAACGCCGGCAGCCGGGTGAGTGTCAAGGTGCGGGTATTCAATCATGAACTCAGCGACGCAGGTGAGAACAGCGGCCAGCCCCACCAGGCTGTGGAACGCTGCCACCAGCTGCGGCAAATCTGAGATTTCAATGCGCTTGGCAATGGTCAGACCTGCAAACCAGATACGTGAAGATCAGCCCAAAAGAGAGGGGAGAAAAGGAAAATTCATGGTTTGCAAAGTCAAACACCAGACATTAAACTTCTCATGCACAATGGCAGAGTTTGAATCCAAAGAAACCTCACGGAGTAAAAAGATTAAGAAGCTTAAAAAGGAAAACAGCTGTTTTCAGTTAGAAGGTCTGATCTTCCGAGCCAGTGTGATTACGTTAAGTGCGCTACGTTTGTTTTCATGAAAAAACACAGGGACTTTCATTTCAACACTGAGTAAAGCCTCATGCTTTGGACATGTGTGTGTAAATCAGAACATGATTTATCATCCTGCTTTGTTAAATCACTGCTAACAAGTGCAACATTCAGGGATGATGACGAGACCCACTCTCCTTTAAGGCTGGACAGGATGATCGATGTTCAGTGATGAACTGGCGAGTAGACAAAATGAAGAGGATGCATGCAAACTTTAGGACACGGAACTCTTTGGTAATATTCCTGCAGGTTCGTAAACAACCTGATGGACCTAGAGAGGAACCTCTGCCATAAAACTGTTTTCTTTCTTTTCAGATGGATATTTAAAATCTGGTGTTGCTTATAGATGGCTCCTTAAATGACAGGATCAGAAGTTGAATGAACTTAAACATTTGAATCTGCCCTGGGAAGGGTTGAGGCTTGGCACGATAGTTGCATAACAAGCCTTAACACTTCCTGGTTTAAAAAGCTTAAACAAATTGGTAGAATTCAAAATAAAATAATAATAGAAGGCATAACTTAATTAAATCCAATGTTAGCATGGAAAGCAAAAGGAGGATAAAATAAAAATCCAGGCTCCAGTTTAACTAAGAAAAAGCTTTCAATGACCAGAATCATGTCACTGGTGTTACTGCCAGAGGAGCTGCTCTGCATATGGCAGTTTTGGATTTTGGAAGCTGGTCTAAAGATTTTACAGGAAATGGAGAAAATAGACAAAAGGGCTCAAAAAAATCAGTAAATCAACAGAGAACAGAGATTCTAAGACTTTCTTCTGACAGATTACGACTATGCCCACGAAGTCAAAACCACCAAAGTCATACTGTATCTTCAGGCTGTTGGATAAAAGCAGGCACTTCCCTACCAAGTGTCCCTCCAGTGGCCATGGCCAGAGACATCTGTGACAGCAGCTCCGGTGAAGGTTTGAGGGCACCGAGAGTGGCAGCGATGCCTCCTGCAACCCCCATCATGCCTAGGGTGTTTCCCAATCGGCTGGTGCCCTGAGCAGAGAGACCTGCCAGTGCCCCCACACAACACAGGCCCGAGCCCAGGTACATCATCTTCACAAAAGAAAAAAAAAAGGAAAGAAAAGTTGTTGAAAAGTTTGATTTTTTTCTTGTTGTAGGAAAAATAAAATAAATATAATCCGTAGTAATAGTGAAGGGTGTGGAGTGGAAAAACTGAGTGGCGCTTGATTAACATTTAAACTAATTCAAGGCCCAAATCCAACTCTTGTTCTTTATTAGTGTGAACTTTTGTTAACATTCTTATTAACACTGGCAGGAACAGCCAGTGTTGGACAATCAAAAGTTGTCAGTTAACATGAAGTTTCTTTTGACACACGTTATATGAGACCCAGAAGTTAAGAGTGGTAAAGAGACCACTCTTTATCCAGCACTAAAACTTCAATATTACTAAGCAGTATTTGTGGTACTGTGTACTTAGTCACCTGCTCGATGCTGTAGCCAGCTGCCAACGAAGCTCCATATCCACCTACAAACGCCCCCCCAGGAAGAAGGTACAGGTAGTTGTACTCGGGGGGGTCAGTGGGACGCTTGAACATGTCCAACATCCTCTGGGTGATGAGGAAACCGCCTACACACACAGAAAGACGGCAGTGAGACTAACAAATCTGTATTAAAATATATATATTTTATGTTTGCTTTTAGTAACAGACCAGCAATGTTGATGGATGATATGAAGGCAGCAGCCAGAGCCAGGGATTCAGGCAATGATGAAGGTGTGAGGCCTCCGCCCATGAGCACCAGACCTCCAACAGCTGTCAGACCTGAACAGCCAGAACATCATGAAGACAATGTTCAGACCTGAACAGCCAGAACATCATGAGGACAATGTACACACAAAAAAAATGCAAAAAAATAGATACATTTTTAAAGTGACTTCTGACCTGAGATAGCGTTGGTGACTGACATAAGGGGTGAGTGCAGAGCAGGGGTCACGCCCCACACTGTATGGTACCCCACGATTCCTGCTAATCCGAAGGTCGTGACCATCTGAGTGAAAGCGGCGTTGGGGGAAATCATGCCCAGAGCCAGACAAGAGGACACACCTGCAGAGAGCCACGTGGAAAACAAGGTTGATTTTTTTTTTTTTCTTCTTTCATTTTGTTCCATGTTTATGAACCAGTAACAGAAGTGAGACGTGGGTTCTGGAAACAATGAGCACCACTAGGCTAAGTTAAAAGTCGTCCAGCCTGGCTTCTTAACCATGTCTATAATGTCCAACTGTATGTTTAGATGGAGGGGATTTTAATTTAATTAATTTATATTATATTTCTCAGGGGGCTGCAACAAATTAACTGGTTTTAGTTCTTTTTAATGGGGAAATTGCCATCAAGATACGAGTGGATCGACACACGAGTGTGTGGTGTCGTGGAACAGATTAAACTCATTACTGCATTACTATTATTGTCTGTGAAATTAAACAAAAGCCAAAACAAAACCAACAAGTGTTTCAGATATTTACTGATGTAATAATGATCTGGTTTCACTAGCTCAGCATAATATTTTTTTTTTGAAAATATAACGTGATTGTTTGCCACATGGAAATGTTTCTGCACGAAACGTGTGCGTGCGTTTGTGTCCAACCTGTGGTGTAGATGCCAGCGGACGTCATGGTGCGTTTGAAGGGAGAAACCGCTGCTGCTTTCTCAGCTTCCAGCTCTGAGACGCTCTGTTTTATTGGAGCTGGGGGGGTGGTTTTTGGGAGCGGTGATGGGAACATGTTCTTGCCTTCCTGGATTCACCAGAAAACCCATGAGAGGACTAGTTTGAGAACACAGCTGCTTTTGCGTGAGAAAAACACATCAAGACTTTAGAGTCTGGCGCTGTGGGTGATCTCGCCTGGACAGCGGGAGAACTCACAGAACAAACTCAAAAGCGATTATGCTGAACAAACAGTAATCACAAAGAAGTCACCGGAGGTTTGGAAAGATGAATTCACTTTTCGAGGAACCTGAAGGGAGCCTGAAATTCTCCTGGTTTAGCGAAGAGTAAACAGATACGTCCTGTTGAAGTTGCATGCTTTCTCTGTCATAAACAATGTGTCAAAGTCAAAAAAATCTTGGAGGAGAATTTTTCTGAAGGTTTCATAACATTCTTGCTGGAATCCAACATCAGCTATTCTCAGCTGGGATCTGGTTTTTAGTGCTCATTTGGCGCAAGCATCGTAGCATGACAGGGTTCGATAACTCATGTGGAGGAGAGACGGCGGCTGCCAGTAGACTGTTACAACACGGACAGAAACCCACCTTCATGACCAGAGTCCCACGAATGACGTGATCAATTGTTCCATAGTTGAATTCATCCTTGGGCTCATAGTGGAAGTACTCCTTATCTGGGCTGATGGCCTTCAGCAGCTTCAGTACGTTGTTGGAATACAGGGTGCTGGCCTGGGAGGCCATGCGACTGGGCAGGTCTGTGTAGCCTATGTGGGTCACACCCTGGCAACAACAATAAATCGTACCGCTCAAGTCAGTTTTTCTCCCCATTTATTTCCTTTCAGGTTATCAGGTTTACAAAACAAAAGAAATTTGTTTGCAGATACTGTAGATACCATCCAACCATTTTTAAAAATCTATTTTCTTTTTTAATTTATCTTTCAATGTCCTGGTGCACTCAGCAGCATGGGGCCTTTACTATAAGGCCAGACGATATATAATAAATACTTTTAAAATGACTTGTCGGTCCTAATGACTAGACATAGCGATACAAGGTCATATCAAGGCAGCAAAGGAGAATGTGAGGTGACGTTCCCCAACAGCAGGCTCACCTTGTGCACGTACAGCTCACCAGGTTTAGTGGTCTCGATGTTGCCCCCTGCCTCTGAAGCCAAGTCCACCACCACAGAGCCGTCCCTCATCGACTCCACAAACTCCTTCTTGATCAGAATGGGAGCCCGCTTTCCTAAAGGGGAGTTTAAAAAAAGGACACTATAATCTATAAAACATCAGACAGAAGTGACTAAGAAGAATTAAAATAACATTATTACTGTTTTATCATATTCAGAGCTCAAGAAAAGAAAACCTGCCAGTGCATTGAATTTAGAATAAAGAGTTTTCACCTCAGTCACAGATTGATTCAACCTTCATGTAGTTTCATCTGAAATACACTATTGGTGTAAACTCTGTTCAACTGAACACCTAATTGGATTTATCTATTTTTATCGAATGCGTTTTTTCCTTCGATTTATTGATATTGTTTTTGTCACTTTTGGAGAGTTTTTGTTTAATACAAAAACAGTTGTTCCTTTTGGACTAAAGCATCCTTCTGTGAATGAGAAGAAAATCAAACTGACTGTAAGCTTTTTTCTTTCTCAGTGTCCTCACTGTGGTTCACCCACAGCCTTCCAGTTCATAGCAAATTTATTGACAAGTACCCAAATAAATATACTTGTACTACTATTGCTTTGTTAATAAGATGGCATGAGATGTTCTTCAGGGCCAAGAGTACGAAGAAAGGAAACCTGGAATCAGAGCAGTGCTGATGAGAATGTCCACCTCTTTACACTGCTTAGCAAACAGAACCATCTCAGCCTCAATAAACTCTTTGGACATCTCTTTGGCGTATCCTCCCACTCCCTCTCCAGACTCTTTGATATCCACTTCTAAAGGCTCCGCCCCAAATGACTTAAACTGCTCCAGGGCTGCAGGTCTGAAGAGAAAGTGAACAAACAGATCAATATATTATATAAGTCTGAATCATTATAACACTAACAACATCTGACATCTGACCTGGTGTCAAATCCTCGGACAATGGCTCCCATAGATTTGGCAGCACCTGCTGCTGCGAGACCAGCTACTCCACCACCGATGACCAGGACCTGGAGCAGAAACAATTAAACAGTGGAGCAGAGCAATGCAGATATGGAAGACAATTAAACACGTAAAAGGTTGAAAACCTCATGTTCAGCCTCACCTTAGCTGGGGGGACTTTTCCTGCAGCTGTGATCTGACCAGTGAAGAATCTGCCAAAGTGGTTGGCAGCCAGAACCACGGCTTTATAACTACAAAACAAAATACATACAGTAACTCTTATTGAAGTGATACAAAGTATATTTTTTAAAATTAATTACAAGGGATGAAATGATACACCGTGAATTGGTTAAAACTCAATACAAATGTGTGACATTTCCCATTGGTTGAAATAAAAAATGAATTGCACAGCAATGCCTGAGGAGTAGGCTGTGTTACCTCAAAAAGTCACTGGTCATATCATGTAGCTTTGTCTGACACTATTAAAACGGCATTGTGCATAAAACTGAATTAAGCAATAAAAATTATATTCAAACTTCAGGTACGTTGTCTTGTTTTCTCTACATGATAAAACTCTGTGCATCTTACTATCGCTCCAGCAGTTTATACTGTAACGTTAAGATTTTTTACCCAGCGATGTTCGCCATGGAGCTGAGTGCGTCGTAGCCCTGTGCGATAGTGACTCTGGGCACCTGGTCCATGGCCAGCACGGTGCTCTGTCTCTCTGACAGCTTCTTCATCAGATCTGGGTTCTGTGCTGGGTAGATGAAGCTCACCAATGTGTTACTGGGCTTCAGAAAGTCCACTTCACCTAAACTGGGGGCTCGGACCTAAACCAGTAGAGAGTCGTGATGGTCAATGAGAGGAGAAGTAATAATGTCTAGACCAGTGTGATAAACTAGAGTGAACAAACCTTTAGGACCAAGTCTGAGCCAAAGGCCCCTTTAACATCAGTGATGGTGGCTCCAGCCTCGATGTACTGTTGGTCAGAGAACTTGGATTCCTGTCCAGCTCCAGTCTCCACCTGCACCTTGAACCCCTGTTTGACCAACGCCTGCACTCCTGCAGGGGACAGCGCCACGCGGCGCTCATTCTGTATGGTCTCCTTGGGAACTCCTACTACCAGGTCCTTGTAAAGAATACCTGGACACAAAAAAAACACCGTAAAGTTGAGAATCAATACTAATTAATAAATTGAAAAAAGTGCATGTGTCACTTTCACATCTTTTAGGGTAACTTATTAACACTCCCTTAATGGTAGCAAATAAACTATTTACATCACATTGTGAACGAATATCTAATGGAAAATACACATTTCACAAGGGCCAGGATTTGTCATGTATTTTATTGGGTTAACCTTCATGAACTTCAAGTACCAGGAGCTTCCAACAGACAATGAAGATTCTCTCCACTTGGTTATCCTGTATTTTAGAACCATCGCAGCAACAGTTCATCTGCCACTGAAGCTTCTCTAGCTCCATTTCTTGTATCAAATTTTATTTTTAGAGGCCTTAATGTTATATCAAAATAAATATTTTATTAACAATAATGGCAGAGGTGCCTCCCTAGTGTGTGAAATGAGCTGAAACCAGCATGGTTGCCGTCAGTCTCAGGTTACATATTTCTGTCCATACACGGTTGTAGCCTCGTCACAGGGTTGACATTATTAGCAGGTGATTGGCTCAGAGCCAGCACATACACGCAGTGGCCTGCACTTATACACACACACGCTTCAAACTCCTCAAACTTTAAAGCTGAGGCAGGAATATTCCTGAGAAAATGTTCCGCAAAGATCTCAGACTATTCACGACAACTGTGTGAGAATAAAACCAGTCAGTTGGCACTTGAAGTTTTAAAGTCACCTTCCAGTGACCTCATGTTAGCAGTGAAAAGCTACAGCGTGAACCACAGCAGCGAAACAGGTCAACATCTGTGGAGTTTGAATGGAAAATGTCGTGGTGTAAACTTTTACTTTGTCATTCAGTCACTGAGACACAAAATAAAAATACAGTTCAAGGACGACACACACACAGGCACCGCTGTCCTCTGTCAAAAGTAAATACCGGTTGCAGAAGTCATGTGTTAATGCACACTTCCTACCTCTGGAGGCTTGTTGGTCCCATAACACGGGAAAAGTCCTGAAATGCCTCCGTCCAGGTATCTTCTGACGAGCTCCACACTGGAGGAAAAGGACAGAAGAGCTGGAGAAGCAGCGCAGAAGGGAAGACATGGCCACTCGGCGTCAGGCCTGAGACTCCCTCTGGCTCCTAATGTGAACAACGACAAGCAGAGGTAGGTGATAATCTGACACTACTTCTGCCACGGCTATCAAAACCACAAGAACATTATAATTCCCCCCGCTCTGAGCAGACCCCAAGTCCTACAGTCACGCTCTCAGGCTGTCTCTGCTTGGTCGACTAAGTCCTACAGTCACGCTCTCAGGCTGTCTGTGCTTGGTCGACACTGCTGTTTGACATTTCAGCTCAACAGGACACCACACACACACGCACAGAAACGTAGGCCTCGGGGTTGATTACAAACTCCGGGCATGTTCGCGAGACCTGGATTTGTGACGACACGGAGGGAAACTGTGCCAACCTGGCCTAGTTGTTGAGAGCAGGAACAGAGAGGAGAGGACGAGTAAAGAGGGAAGGGTGTGGGACTAGAGGAGACAGCAGAGGACAATGGGACACCTTTATATTTACAACATGAATCTGAACACATTCTCAAGTGGCATTAAAATATAATATAGCACAATGGCAACAACTGGGTTTAAAACTGAGAAATACTAAACATTTTAGAATGTTTAGACTTTTAGAATGACACCTACTGGCAACAAGAAAATTCATAAATTAATAATAAGTTTATTTGATAACAATGTGTAATTTTTGGACCTAACCTAGATAAACCCAAAAGAGTTCTAGTATTTTATGACTAAATAAAAAGCAGTAATTAAGATGAGAGACAAGATGGTGATCTGTGCTGTTCCCCAGCCTAGGAAATAAAGCTCTGTGACCCATTAACAGAGCACCCCCAGCCTAGGAAATAAAGCTCTGTGAGCAGAGCTCCATGAACAGAGCACAAACAAACATTTGAAAAATACTAAAATATCTCAAACAAACTAAATAAGAATTTACTGCAATTTATTTACTATTCCGCCACAGTATGAAGACTTTTTGTGTTTTGGATTTTATCAATGTCAATAACTTGAGTTACACACTAGTGCCCCCTTCGCCTGCACCTGATTTTGACTTTCACACAACGAAAGACTGGAATGGCTGGGCTGTTTGTGTGACTTGCCTTTCAGATGCAGTGTCACCTGACAGAACTCGGAGCCAAAATCCTTTCCTTTGCTCGCAGGTAACAACAGCGGACACAAACAGTCTGGCAGAATCAGAATGTCCTGCTCCACACTCTACCACAAACCACGTGGGCTCACCGACACCCTGCAGTGACAGATCTATGCTTATCACCTGCGAATCAAAGCCTGGATTAACGTGTTTATCACAATCCCTTCTCTTCTGATTGACTGGAAACTGGCCAATCAGAGCCTGAGAATCATCGGTAGCGGTGGACAACCAAACTTTTATTCTACCAGGGAAAAGACACAATGTTTATATTATTTGGAAAACGAAAAGCATCTTCCTTTTTTTTATTTAACAGAGTTGCTTGTTCAGTCCCTAAACGTAGAACTCGTTAAGCTCGCGTCGTCTACCATTTTATCTCGGACCTGCAGTGCTGTTTTTGTCCTCGCGATGGTGCCAACATAGTAACAAACGTGTAAAACGGTTTTATTATAATTATTCTTTTTTTTTTTACAAACATTACCAGTGTATTTTAATAATATCGAGATTTATGAGGGTTTAGTGTAGATAAGTATGACGAATCACTTGGAATGTCCTTCATAAATAACATAGAGAACTTTGGAAAACTCCAAATATGAGCCGAAAATTGTTGGCCAACCACGACTATTCCTTTGTTTTTATTTAAAAGGAAAGTCACGTTTTAGTTTCATACTTCAAGTTATCAGAGTTGCTTTGTGGCCAGTATATACATTTGAGAATACGTCGCTGTATAGAGAAACTTCTTTTTTAATGTTTACATTTTTTATACTATTTACAAAGCGGATACGGTTCCGTGTTCAGGAAAAGGTTTTGGTTGGCCGTCATATTCTTCTCGCACATGTGATTTTGTAAACATGAGTCGCTCCTCGACTTTTCACATCTTTTGCTAGAGCTCCTTAAACAAATGAGTTGTAACTTTGAACATGGTGAGTAATCCTGCGTCTGTTGACGTGTATGTTCTGGTCATTGGGAGTTGTTGGTAATAGCTAGCGGCAAATAGCCTAGCTAACGCTGCAGCACTGACAATAGTATAGCCTTCGTTTTAATGTAAGTTTCTTTCTTTAGGTCAGTGAATAAACGAAAAGGTAAAGAGCTATTAAACCCATATAAAACCATTACCTTTAAATATTCTGTTGGGTATGTAAAGTAGGTGAGATTCCATTGAAAAATTTGTAAGTTGTCATAACATTTTCCATTAAAAGTGGCACAATAATACAGTAATATAAGACATATTTTTATACAGTGAAATAATAACTTGTAGCTGTGACTGTGATCGTTGCAGTATGTCAAAACATAAATGCATAATCAAAATCCGAAACTGGATTATTTTCCGAAAGATCTAATAACATTTCCTTCACCCAGTTGACATATTTAAATACGGTGAATGTGACGAGACTTGGGAACATTTAACAAACAAAAAGAAACACGATATTGATCTCTATAAATAATCAAATGTCTTACCTTTGTCTCAACTCTCAGTAAATGTGAGCGGCTACTGAGGACCATAATGAAGACTCTCAGACAACTTTCAGTGGATCCTTCAGACCTGGGCTCTCAGAGATGCAGACTGGGTCCAGGATTGATGTCAGACCTGGGTCTGAATCTGGGTTCCCCGGTGCTGGTGTCTGTCCCTGGAGGAAGCTGCCTGTGCTCTGCCTGGCCGCGGTCCGATCTGGCAGAGGGTTTCCTGCAGATGGACCTGAAGTGTTCCTCTCCCAGTGTGATGCTTCATCCTCACTCCCATCTTCACCTGGAGCCTGGTCAGCTCACACCGGTGTCCTGTCCCAAACTCAAAGGCGTTAAAATAACTGTGGTGGTGCAGAGTGTGGACTTCAAAAAATACACACCCTCCCGCATTATTCACGAACATGTGAAAGACGTGCTGAAGGGTGTTTACGTCCATGAGAAGCATGTGATAAATCTGGAGGATTTTGACACAGAGATCAGATTTGTTATTATCGAAAGCCTTAATCCAGATTGCACCAGTACTGGACTCATCACCTCAAAAACTGGCGTGGAGATATGTGGGATCCAGACGGTGCGGCATTTCAGGAGTCATTTGCAGGACAGACCCCAAGTGACACTGGGGGGTTTGGAGGAGGTCAGTGGAGAGGTCACTGTAAAGACAGGAATTAACTGTCATAGTGTGCACTAACATAACTATAACATTCATCTGAAAATGGTGTCTTTTAGGTGAGTGCCTCCATGAGAGAAATGCTCCAGTTGCCTCTTCTCTATCCAAACACACTGAACTCTCTGGGTGTCTCATGTCCCAGGGGTGTACTCCTGGTGGGACCCCCAGGTGTGGGAAAGACACTACTGGTCCACAAAGTTGTGGGAGAAGTGGGAGCTAGCCTAGTGGTGGTCAAAGGACCAGAGGTAAAAATTAAGTATTATTATTATTTTAGATTAAAAAACAATTCAGATGAATGTCTAAATGCAGCATGTTCCTCTGAATGGCAGACACGTGAATAATGCTTGAGTTTTGAATAATAATATGGTCAATGTTCCAGGTGGTGGGTTCTCGGCCGGGTGAGAGTGAGGAAAAGCTACGTGCCGTGTTTAAGCGTGCTCGATCTGAGGCGGTAGAAGGTCCTTGTGTGCTGTTCCTGGACGAGCTGGACTCTCTGTGTCCACGGAGAACGGGCTCTTCATCACCTGAAAACCGCCTGGTCGCTCAGCTCCTCACTCTGATGGACGGGATGGACCAGTCGGATCGATTTCTCATGGTGGGAGCCACCAACAGACCAGACAGTTTGGACTCAGCACTGCGCAGGCCGGGAAGATTTGACAGAGAGGTACAGAGTAATTTTTAAAATTAAAAATTAGATCAATATAACGTGTAAACACCACGTTTACTTTTTACTTTATTCACAGGTTATTATTGGAGCTCCTACCCTGCAGCAGAGAAAATCCATCCTGTCGGTTCTTTGTGCAACCGTGCCAGTGTGTCCCAGTGTGGACATGACAGAGCTGGCACAGAGGACTTCAGGCTACGTAGGTGCAGATCTCAGTGCTCTTTGCAGGGAGGCTGCCATGAATGCTATCAGAGAAAACTCAAAGGTAAATTTAGCAACATCTAGTGGTAAAGCTCCATACATTAAAATACTGATTTTGTTTTATTTTGTTAAATGGAGTGTGATTTAAAGCAGAACAGAAGGAACAGAAGCTTCAGATTATCTTATGGTAGATATTGATAAGTTTAGATTTTCCTTTGTGTGACATTATGTCTGCAGGGATCAGGAGTGAAGCTGGTGAGTATGCATCACTTCCAGGAAGCACTGAAGGTGGTCCGTCCCTCTTGTCTCCGGAGCAGCCTGGGCAGGACGGAGCTGTCTCCAGTGTCCTGGGAGCAGATTGGAGGTCTGGATGATGTCAAACTCAAACTGAGACAGGTATTTAAACAACAGTGTTTGACAAGAATCAAAATACTGGAATGCTGTACAATACATTTTACTTCTCTTTTTCACATCAGAGTATCGAGTGGCCAATGATATACCCTGAAGCGTTTATACGTCTCGGTCTTAACTGTCCCCGCGGTGTCCTGCTCTACGGACCCCCGGGATGTGCAAAGACGACGCTCGTCAGAGCGGCAGCCTCATCCTCCCACTGCTCCTTCCTTTCTGTGAGCGGTGCTGACCTCTACTCTCCTTATGTGGGAGACTCTGAGAAGGCTTTAGCACAGGTTTGTTGTTTCCACAGCCTGTGTTAATAACCAGTGCGTCATTTGGTTTGTCATTTCCATAATCGCCTGTCTGTCTACTCACAGCTGTTTCGTCAGGCAAGAGCCTGCGCTCCTTGCATTCTGTTCCTGGATGAGATTGATTCCCTGATCGGCTCGCGGTCAACGGGTCAGACTTCCAACAGTGTACACACGCGTCTCCTGTCTGTCCTCCTGAATGAGATGGATGGTGTTGGCTTGAAGACACTGGAAAGAAGAGGGAATGAGAAGATCCTGCAGGCGGAGGGAGTGGAAGAGAATCATACACATGAAAAGGTAAGACATTATTTTCAAGACTTCATCGTCTAAATTTAGAGTTGCAATGTTTGGGTCAATTCAGTTTTTCAGATTTTTTTTTTTGCGTGACTTGCTGATACCAATTTTTGGCTCCCCCTCAGTTAACCCTACTCTTCCATATATGGAGCTTTATTGTCTGACTTTAAAGTATGGCCAAGCTAAAAAAAAAACCTTCTACATTCTCTTGAACTATAGAGGGTTATAGTTTGGAACCAAGTCTGCAGCGATTTTGAGACAAAAACATCTGGAAAAAAAGAATTGTGCGTTCCTTTGAGACAAAAACATCTGGAAAAAAAGTAGAAAAAAAGAATTGTACGTTCTCATTACTGACCACTGGAGGGAGCCAAAGTAACGGAGGTAACGTAGTCTGAGAACCACTGACAAATTATTTGAGTATTTGGTGAAAATATCCTCGACTCTCCTACAGCTTGACTGCCAGGAAGTCTCCAATAAAGATGTGATGGTAGTCGCTGCCACAAACAGACCTGACAGCTTGGACAGCGCCCTCCTCAGACCAGGAAGATTAGACCACATCATATATGTCCCACCCCCTGACAAGCAGGTGATGATAAAAAATTTGCAACAAACATATAAAATATGGTTTTACTATTTGATTTTTTTATATATATTTAAGAAATCCAGCGTCCATCCTGGCATCTGCTGCTTTATTTTTGGTATAAAATAAATATCTGTCTAACCCTGTTCTGGCTGCATAGGCTCGACATGCCATCCTGAAGGCGTGTACTCATTCCATGCCACTGGCTGCCGATGTGAATCTGGAGGAGCTAGCAGCCCAGACGGGGCTTTATTCTGGGGCCGATCTGGGAAACCTGTGTAAAGAGGTAATAAGATTCAAATCAGCTGCAGAAGAGCTAGCCGTTTCTAAAAAGATATGAAGAGTTAACTATAAAAATGTTTTGTATTTATATTTTCAGGCTGCTCTGTTGGCTCTACAGTGTGAGAACATGGAAGCCTCTGTCATCAAACACACTTATTTCCTGCAGTCCCTACACAAAATGAGCCCCTCACTCACAGCCCAGCAGATCCACACATATCAAACACCACTTAGGTGACAAAGCACTGTTTGGTCTAAGAAACCATTGTAAAATAAAACATTTTTACAGAAAGTCAAACATGTGTCTTGATTTTTTTTTTAAATATATATTTAATACAAATTGAAAAATAAAAAATATGTCAACAAATTATTTCAGCATTCTTAAAACTACACAATAGAGTTTTTGGAAGAGGAAAAGTGAAACGAGAACAAAGGAGAAATTTGACGGGGAAATACATAGTGCCAGGAATAAAGGGAATTCTTATTCCCTCTGAACACCTATATTAATGTCTTTGATATACCATTGTCCTTTGATGTAAACCTCAGAGCTGTTTAGTTGCAGCCGGAGAAGTTCCTGGCTAATCCAGGAAATGTTCATATTTATGGTAAACTGGTAAACTTAAACCTAGTAGGTATGATCAAATAATATAACATTTTTAATTTAGTTCAATTTTGTTGAGGCTAATTAATAATATTTTATTAATTACTATTTTTGCAATGCTGTGGCTCATGTTGCCCCTTTCCAAGCTAATTCTTCTTCAAAAATGAAAGATTCACAAACGAGCCTTGCCATTAAAAAACGCGCATTATTACCCCCTAGTTCCTAAACCGGGTACTACATCTCTATTTATGGCCTTGTGGTCTATATCCTCAGATGCCTGTAGCTTTAAATGTGATTACTGTTGCCTTTGTTATGAGATAAAGTGCAACTGAGTTTGAAATTAAAGGTGTGTACGGTTTTATTCAACCCACATAATCCTGAATATAAAGGTTTTGATGTTGTAAAAATATTACTTTTGTTTTTCAGCCACTATTGAATCAACAAATAAATTAAAAACACTAATTGGCTCATTTTTGGACAGCACTGCTCTATGATTCTCCAGCAAAACACTGAGGTGATTTCAAAGGAAACGCCAACCAGATGACTTTTAGTTCTTAAAAATGACCACAAGGGAGTGCTGCATAACCAGAAAAAAATGTATTGATCAAGGTAATGGGACCTGATGATGTACTTTGACTTCACTGCTGCATGTCTATGCAGGAAGCTGTCTGTCTACGTGCCTCTCATCTCGTACTGCCTCACTCTCATCCTGCCTACATCAGTCCGCCTCATTGGATGCTCAGCTGAGTCACTGATAACACTTCTGCGCCACAACAGGTGGGAGCTGCCACACACAGATGCTTCTCGTCCTCAGTTTTTTTATCTTTGGCTTTTTTTTTAACTACTTAAATTGACTTGTTTGATTTTTTTTTTCTTGCAGATAAACTCTCTGAACTTGAACCTGAAAAATGCCTGGGTTTTTTCAGTTGTTGAGAAAAAGGAAGGAGGTGAGTCTATCGTGAGTTTAGTTAGTGGGGAACATGTATTACACATACATCACGTCGTATTTGTTGACTTTGTTAACCAGGTACCTATTTCTAATGACTTTTCCAGCTGATTCCTCTGCTTGGATTCATATCATTTGCAGCCACGGGAGCCGTCTCTGCTTCGCTCTACTTCCTCTTTACTAAAAGTGATGTCATGTGAGTTTCCTTGGAATTTAATTTCTGTTTGCTTTGTCATCACACATCTGCAAGATGCTGGTTAGTTGTAATGTTAGTATATCATCCCGTTTTGGACAGGCTTTTACCACATATTAAGGATTTTCTTATGAATTTTAAATTATACAGCACATGAATTGATTATATATTTTATGATACAGTGAGAATCAATGTAAGTGACTTAAGGTCAAAAATGAATAATAGACTACATTTAGTGCAAAAACAAATAGAACAGCTGGGAGACAATGAAGCTAAAATATGACTTTTAGAGGATTTACTTATTTTTGTTAGTAAGAAATATTACTAAAAGGTGCCTAAAGTATAGAAATATTCATAACTACAGGTTTCTCTAGAAAAAGTTAATGTGATCAAATGCCTACACATTAGCTAATAATTTACAAAGTGTGTCACAAAAATGAAACCACACAAACATAAATGTGAGCAGGAAGTCTGTTTGATTCACTCAAGGTCATCAAGAGTAAAACAAACAAAAAAAAACTAACGACATTAAACAAGGACAAACAAAAGACCATTTCTACTTCTTTAGCATCTAAAAATTCTTAAATAATGTGTAGTATGATGCAATATTTTCCTTTTACAGACTGAATAGGAGCAACAATCCAGAACCATGGGAGAGAATCGACCCAAATAAACCACAAAAGGTAATCTCTTAAAGTCTGGCTGGCGTTCCTTTTAGCCTTTAAATGATTTGCAGCAGATTCTCGCTGGCTGCAGCTGGAAAGTAACAAACATCCGCAGTGGAGATTTTAATCAAATTAGCTACAGCCTCCGTCTGTAAATCCTTTCTTGTTTCGAGTCTTGTACATCTGATGGTTTGAGACGACCACACTAAGCACTAACCAGTTCTTAACTGGGTATTTTTTTGCAGCTTATCACCATCAATCAGCAGTGGAAACCAGTGGAGGAGTTGGAGATGGTCAAGAGGTTAACTAAGTAAAATAAAATGGAGGCATCTGCTTTAACGACCTGGCCCACAGTGTGCTGACCTGCTGCCCCCCCATCAGTCTAACAGAATGCTCTCTGCACAAACTGGGAAAGTTTGATGCTCAGTGTGCGGAGATGCTTCTGCTGCACTGGTGGGGTTTCACCCTGCTGCACCTGAGGACATCCTCTAACAGAAGTGCAGTAGATCATTACAGCACCAGAAGATCTGTACTGGCTGAGGCCTGGGCGGTCATGCAGTACCTCAGATGTTTGTGTGAAGTATTTGTGGAAAGATGTTTTCTAAATGTAAGCTGACTAAATATTGCACTGTATACTGGATTAAATTATTATTGTAACCCTTGTTTGTTTTTACTGTCAGTCAGAAACACTCCTTATCTTGTCTCCACTATAATTTTTATAGCCTGCTCTGCCCCGCCCTTGAACACATGCTGGGCACTGAGATAGTATTTTAAGCTCTAGGTTGTCCAGGAAACCTTTCCTGCAATGTGCAAATAACAATGTGTGTTTTTGAGCTATGATAAGTTGTTGGATTAGAATTATTGAATAGGCAGTGCCAGTAATTCTGCCCATGTGTAAAAAAAAAATTAAATTTATTTCACAATTATATTAACAATATCACGTATTTTTGTCACCTATTATACATATGTATATAGTATATGTCAGTATACACATATACATTGTTATAAATTTCCATTGAGTACAAGGTATTAATTATATGTTAATATTTAAGTATATGCTTGATTGGTTATGTAAATTTTAGTCAGACATCGTGAGGAGTTTGAGAGAAAGTTGTTGCTGTGTGCGTATTGATTTATGAATGTTTCTGAAAGTTCAACAGAGGTTAAAAACGCCCTACTCTGTCCTGACTATTGTTTCACCGGAATAGACTCCCTGGTGAAAAAGTGCAATAGTTTCACCGCCCTAAGTTTCTCCAATATACATAATACACTGATGTCAATAAAAGTGTTCCCGGATTACACAACTTCTTAGTAAAACAATCAACTCTTACGTTTTACACTTCCTTATTCCTCCTGCCTGAAGGTCAACACTGGAGTTCTGTTTCAGTGAGGTTCAGGTTTTTCATTACTCTGGTATTGTAGACAGATTAGTCACTGTTTAAGGAAACTAAAAGTTGGTCTGTTAAAAGTTGATCTAAAATAGTGACAAAACCATTAAGGTAAATTCTCCAAAAGGTTAAGCATAAGTAAGAAGCATTTATTTTGCACTCATGTAATATTCTACATATGTTTCACAGTAACAAGTGTAGTATTTGAATTCCTACAGGACTTGTTTTCACTACCATACGATGTATGATTGTGTGACCACTGAGCAGCTCCATTGTTTTAATGATTATGGGAGACGATCTCATTCTGTCATTCACCTTAAATTGTTACTGCCAACCTGTTGAGTGTGGTTTCATTAATTATTAAACTTGGTGTGACAGAGGAGTAGGAGTGGTCTCGCTGCTACTTCCTGTTCTCTTTTGTTCTGTACATACACAACAGGAAATATCATCTGTCTGTGTTATCGATGTGTCCTTTCACCATGTGTGGGTCCTACAGGTCTTTCAGTTTATTAAGTCCCCCCGCCCCCGTTCCTCTTGGCTGTTGTACAGTGTATAAAATGTGCTATGCCTTGTTGAATTCATGTACATAATCAGACTGTGTGCATCTGGGAGGTTATTTCTGAACACAATATCAAAGAAAGAATACATAGTCTGTATACGTGTGTGTGTATGTCATGCTGGAATTTGAGTACGTGACTAAACGCAGAGAGTACACCCACAGGTCATGTGACCTGCGGATAGAGCAGGTATGCAGTGTTGTGTTTTTAAAGTAGCATGACAACAGAGATATCATGTGATATCAAGGATGTTCTTGACCTCGTCAACACTGAGCTTTTTCTGTTGTGTATCTCAACGGACACAAACATCATATGTAAATATGAATGTAAATTTTTTTATGAAAATATTGAAGATTCAGAAAACATCACAAAGCCTTCAAAGCAAAGCTTTCATAATGGTTAGAGCACTAAACACTTCCTCATATAACTATAGAACAAAATAGAATACCTGGAGAAAACTCACATATGCACGGGAAGAACATGTAATGTCCATCGGTAAGATCGGTTTCGCTAATTGATCTCCTTGTTGTACCAAACACTTCCCCACCATGCGGCACCTGATTGATAGAGAGAGAGTTAAAACAACAATAAGATGAATAACAGGTTATCACAAAATGCTAAAATGTATCATTAAATAAAACAGAAAAATCCAGAGAAGTCAGTTAGAAGTTAAATGAGCTAATGGTTGCCAAGACGAAGCCTCAAGCCAGTAGCTGCAAATTAGCCAAAAACAGTTAAAAACTTAGTTGAATTGATAGCAAAATAGCACAAAAACACAGGTTTTAATGAAATGCTAAAAGTGAACAAAACATAATGCAAAACACAAGTAGCAGTTAGCAATCTGACCAAAGACATCAGAAAAACCTTAATTATGTGTTAAATAAATAAAGGTTTCGTTTTTATTGCTGCTGCCATAGAGGGAACTCTTCATTGTTGACCGAAGTGCACCACCCTGAGTGGAGAAGCAATATTGCATCCACAGACACGAGTTTTCTATGAAATGAAACACTGACGCCAAGAGGTGAGAAAAAGAGTACACACCTTTGCTAAAATCCCAGGTGTCTGATGAGGATGGCGACACTGACATATTTTATTTTCAGGTCTTTTACACTATTATTTTAACAGCACACTGTTACGTGACAAAAGAAATAATGTAGACAGGGCGTACACTATTATTTTAACAGCACACTGTTAGAAATAAGAAATAATGTAGACAGGGCGCGTGGTTCATAATAAATATATATAAAAAACTTCATTAGCTTTATTTATTATTTAGAAAGGACACTGCCTTTCTAGACTGTAGTCCTTAGTTCCCGAGCAGCTGAGCTTCATGTGGGCTTATGCAGTTCACAGGCGGTGGCACAGGGTGGCAGCAGCAACCACACAAAATATCACGGAAACCGGCTGCATTTCAATCTCTAGCCTAGCTTGTCGATCAATAATTTTGACATTTAAAAAAAGTTTAATTTGACAATTAGTATAGTAGATTTTACCAGAAAATACATCGTTTCCTGGGGAAATAATAATAAACAATAACGCTCAAATACTTGATTCTTGAGAAAGTAACCCCTGCCCAGATTCCCATAGGAATTAACACAACCGCCCCTGTCCTTTACGTCTTAAGAAACGATAACGACACGGCGACTTACAATTTTATCTTTTGTCTCTCTTGTCCTTTTCGGTGATTTATATCTTTCTCAGTCTGTCACGGTCACTGCGGCCTTCACATTAGCATGCGCTGCTCAACGGTGACTGTAGGCTTTTCGCGCCTCTACTTAGGTCCCTCTCTGTGATTGGCTGAAACTCTCAGCTTGGCCAATCACACTGTCCAGAATGTAATTACAGTTAGTTACAGTTTGCACTCACACTTTCCTTACGTCATGTAGCAGAAGAAGACGACTTATTTAGACAAAGAGGAGATTAAATACTTTATTACAAATAAAACAGTGATCCAGTCCCCAACAACAGGAAGAGGTTTGTAATCAAATTACCCTCACCGCCTCTCAACTTAAAACAACAAACAGTATAAACAATACTATTGGCAAATTTAAATTATTACTTTCTTCCTGCGCAACAACAAATAAAGTGTGAAACACTGATGGTTTTTTCCATTATTTGCACGTCTTTTCAAGATATGAGAAAAAGCTGGGTAGATGTATATATGTATGGAGGGTGTAAGGCTGGGACCACACCGAGGTGACGTCACCTACACGATCCTTGAAGTCAGTCACATTGATTGTCAGTTGCTGCATCTCAGCGCAGTGGTGAGACGCAAGAGGATAAAGTGTAAGTCTCACACACGTCCAATCATTTCAACTGTCAGTTGGTTTGGCCAATTGAGAACGAGCTAAGAGCTCTTAAGATAAACGCAGTTTATAAAACACTCCAGTTAATAATGGCTGCAGAGTGTTAACAACACGTGGTAGGTGACCCAGCAGAGAGGAATTATTTTGTTTTCCTCCTCAACAATGTGGTTATTTTTAAATGAGCTGAGGTACGGCTTTCATTCGTTCAAATGAAATTAAAAACTTAATTTAAAAATTCTTACACTAGTTGTGGGATAGGCCTTAATGGTGAACAGGTTATAACATTTTTTGAAGCATTCAATAACCCCTGTGGGGTGTGCAGGCGTCAGAGCAGTCTGTTTCAGGAGACGTCTGTAATCCGTTAAATGACCATTTGTCCTTTGGCACCAGTTCACTTCCACTTTCATACTGTAGTTGCTGCTATGGCACCGAGCTGCGACAACACTGCAACATCCATCCAAGTGCTTGCTTTTACCAATTGTCTGCTGGACAGCACCCAGAGGAAATGCACTTTGGAAGTCAATGTGTGTTCAATGCCTTTTTAAAAAAAATTTTTTTTTACTTTAAGCAGTGGAATGCTGGCAATGTACACAAGTACGCAGCAGCCTCTGCCTGTAAGTCTGCACCTGTACAGTACACCTACTGAGACCGTAAGTGTGAAGTAAAAGGTGGCGGGCTCGTGCTTGGACATCCTCCCAGTTTTCAGCCCTAGAGGGCACTGTGGCCACGGATGGAACAAAACAGAGACAGGATTAGGTCATTGGTATATCACTCTCCCTCAAACCCACAAATCATTAATAATAACTCCACCTCCATAGTGGAAGTTGAAGCCATCATGGTTTCACACATTTGAACTTCAGCAGCAGACATGCCATTGCCATTGCGCCCTCTTGTGGACACTTTAAACACTACATCTCTGACCTCAGATATTTACAGTTCATATTTATAATTGTATCTTTATCATGTGGCTGTGGCATGAGTCATATATACTGTCTAATCTGCCTGTGCTTTCTCTTGTCTAGACTCTAATGTAATACAAATTAAACAAAATTAAACGAAAAATTACGAATGTATTTTTATTTATTTGTAGACTTCAATTTATTAATTAATATAATGGAAGTTTGTGCCTCAGACCGTCACAGTCACATGTTACATCCCTAAAAATAGTTATAATAAAATTACAAATAGAGATAATTCACCACAGGATCACTACAAAGCAGTGACACCCTGCTTTGACTTCTTTATCTTTTTATGGTGGGATTGTCTTAAAAAAACAGAACAAAGAATTTGTTCTGTACAGAAATTGTACTTGTATATGATGACATGGACGA